TAGAAAATCGAAAATCAATTACTTGCATTTCGCGCGGCAATTCGATCGATATAAACCCCGTAGTAAAAATCAGTTCCGCGACAGACTAAACTTTCAATTAAAACTGGCGGTTGCTAATAGGCCAAAATTGAAGTGGTAATATTTGCTCCCGTTACTTATAAATGGGGCCACGACAGCCGGCGATGTATTCCCCACATCAAAACGGTAATAGAATTCATAAGTACTCTGGCGAGCGGGCCAAGTCGTGAAATAAATGTCAAATTCAACAAACGGATCATATCGCCCGGGCGCAGCCTTCCCCGGTAGGCACTGCCGGAAGTAGTAAGGCAAATACCGACGAGATTTATCGAATTATCTTGCAGTCGGTTTTCATACCGGAGATTCTTCACAATTTTACTTTTTACCACATTTTCCATTTTACTACCTATCCACGTTTTCACCACATTGATGACTTTAATTGACACGATTCATTCATTTCTATCTCGTATTGGACTCTCTAATTTCTTTTTACACAACTAAATGACTCTCGTATTGCGATGATTACAAACGTGTATATAAACTAAATCAAATTTTTTTAAAATGCAAAACAAAATCAACCAAGTGTACGTTAAATACAGTGTGTTAATTAAAAAAAAATCAAATCGCGTATTGTAATACAAATACTGTGATATTGGTTGCATATTTCCAATCATGACGTCGGGTACGATAATTAATTAACACACTGTATAGACATAATAAAATATACTATATATATATAGGAGTCGAAGGTGAATTACAGTAGATTGAAAAGATTTCGTGGAAAGGATTAGAAATAGAAATCCGAACCGGTTCCGGATGATATGACGTACGCATATTGTATTGTAAAACCGGTTTCTCAAAGATGCAAGTAAGTGGAGAGCTTCGCAGAAAAGGATTTGGCGAAATACGGTTGAAATGATGAAACACATTTTATAAAGACTTTTTGATCAAGATTATGAGTAAATGTGTCTCACATTGTAGATTTCCGAACGATTGGAAATCAAACCATGAAGCATATACATCTCGATATACAGTGTGTTTATTAATTATCGTACCCAACGTCATCATTGCAAGTATGCAACCCAATACGCAAATCGATTATTTGCAATACGCATACTGTGATATTGGTTGCATACTTGCAATGATGACGTCGGGTACGATAATTAATTAACACGGTGTAGATGTTAATTTTGACCTAAGTTAAATCGTTCCAAAAAAGTAAAAAAAAACGTTCTAGGTCTTGTGATAGTGTTAGTGTAAAACTAGAACTAACACTAGACCTAGAACTAGAAGCATTCGGGTTTAGCCGCACGTCTCTCAAGACGGCTAAACCCGAATGATTCTAGTTCTAGGTCTTGTATTAGTTCCACTGATAGAGCTAGTGTAAAACTAGAACTAACACTAGAGTGATATTTTATGTTAACTAACGCTACTTACCGGTTTCAAAACTGGTTATAAAAATTTTAACCTCTAAAAGTTTAAAATAGTGAGTTTAATAAGATGTAAACGAATATTATCTGTATAAAATAGAACGGAATTTGAGTAGCCTGTTTTGGGATTAATTAAAAAATCTCCCTCTATAATTACATTCAGACTAAACCGTTTTAAATTGAACTAATTATTTTTCTTAATTAAATCAAAACGAAAAAAAGGTTCTTAAAACGGATTATTATGGTAAAGTGGGGGTTGTATAGCATGTTAAAACGTAACATAAATATATAATAAGTGTTTTCCCCCCAAAAATAAAGGGCGGATGATTTCAACCAGAATTCGCTGGGTTAACGTTCTGACTAATTAATGATTCGCGGCCCCAACACAATTAGCCCTCGAAATAACGTTATGCAACCATAATAGCTTAAAGATCCTGAAGGCAACCCCTGGAGTTTTTGCTAGGGATGACACCACAAGAGATTCGGGTGTGAAGATGGCCCTGTATAATTTCTGCATGTGTCAAACTGTCAAACTACCAAACCCGTATCAATCCAAGGTAACGAGACAAGAGAAACTAATTATTATCATTAACTGTGATAGGGTTTTGAAGGCATTTAGGTCAAATTAGCTTTAATAGATAAACATTTTACCCTTTTGAAAATTCAATTATTTTATTTTATTTCCTTTTTATTGCTTGGATCGTCAAATAAACGTTCTTTTTTTGTTATAAAATTAAGTAGTAAAATTAAAATTGATTGAAAAAAATAAATTCCGTAGTAAAAGTTGTACAGTCGTAGTAAATGGAATTAGGAGGTTGATCGCGTCGATAAATTTAAAAGAGTTACGGCTGGTTTCATTTTCGCCGGGAGCATTAATTCCTACATTGGCCCAAGTTCATTGTCGAATTTGATCTTTATTGTGCCAAACTAAAGATTAACTGTATCTTTTGGTGTAGAACGTGATTTATGCGCTTAACATTAAAAAATTGTCCTTACCGTAACGTAACGTCGTTATTGGGATAAAGAGGCAAACTGCCGATGACGGGAAAAAAAGGCAATTGTATAGATGGAATGAACATCGGGCTTTTGATGACTACTAAACTGTCAAATTCAGAAACTTGGTATCGAGGCCGTAGCTGGGCCACTGCCTCCATAAGCACGAAGGTAAAAATCGATCAGCGAACTGTAATATTTCAACATCGAAAAAGGAAAATACCTGGCGCACTAACGCCAGCTAGCGAGGAGAGAAAATATTAAAGCTTTTTGTCAGGTTGAGATGGCAACCCGAAAGGACTTGGAATGCAATTATTCCCTAGTTTTAAAACGATTTTGAACCGGTCCTAAATCGACCCGATCAAAATAATCACTTGTGATGAGAATATTACACTTAAGTTCTTCGTCTCTGGCTACATTTATCCACTTTTAAAAAATGCAATATTGCGTGCTGCCACGTGTACAGTTGTAAAAATGCAGTTTTGCAATGCAAATCGACCATAACTTATACCGAAGTAATTAATTTAACCTATTTTTCATAACCGCCCGTTATATTTAAAACGCTCACATAATCGAAGGACGTTGAGCAAAACTATCAGATTTTTTAATTCTTGATTACATGCCTAATAAACTCGTGCCTGTTCTCACAAACTCAAACTCTATTAATTATGCATTAATTGCATCTATTGATCTAGGTTACACCACGAATTTAATCAAGGGATTATTTATGTATTCGCTGGACTAATTCGTGTTTCAACATGGCAGTTCACTATTAAAGTATAAATTATTTTATACTAAAACACTTTTTAAAAATATCGAAAAAATTACAACATTCCACCAATATATTTGTTATGTTAATTATTTACATTTAATTTATTATATTACTTCGGATTTAAACAAATACTTAATTAACTCAAATAACCATTCATAAAATCATTCGTAACTACTCATATTTGATCGATTTGCACAATATGTAATTCAACTTTCAAATAATAAATAATACTTAACCATGAAATAACCACCCAAAAGAAGCAGATAACGACGATATGCAACCAATATCACAATATTGGTATTGCAATACCAGTACTGTGATATTGGTTGCATATTTTCAATGATAATATCGGGTACGATAATTAATTAACACACTGTATATGTATATATACATTAAAAATCTAGTTGCTACGAGAAATTTTAACTTTGAAATGTTGTAGATTTTCACATAATATAATTTTTAATTAAATAAAAATTAAGCGAGAATGGTTTAATTATAAAGAAAAAAAGAAATAATAAATGCAAGCGCTTAGCTATGCATTAAATTGAAATTAACCTGGAGTATTCAGTTTTATTTATTGCTAGGTATACAATCAACCTAAATAAGAGTGTTGCACTTTAAAGGGCAGTTAGGCTAAAGAATAAAGTTTGTAAAACATCTCATGGAACAAACTTTCGGCTCGAGTTCGTGTATATTGCCCCTGGAATTTGATTTTATAAACTTCGCCCGGAAATCTTCGGACCTGAAACTCGTTTCAAATATCTACTATTTTATTTATTTCATTCGTTTACTCCACGTTCGTTTACTCTTAGTCTTTTTTTACCTTGCAAGATTTCTGTCTGTCCAATACAAAATATGTCTTTCACATCCCAACCCCACTGCATTCGAAGCGGAGTTTCGAGAAATTGTAGTACACAGATTTTATAAACTTATATTTTCCGACAGATTGATTCATTTTGACTTATATATCGCGTAATTTAATTGGGATACATGTTGATTTAAAATTAGATTCTTAACGCAGTTAATAATGTTATTAAATTTCGAACAAACAGTGTTATTAGTAATTAAATTAGTTCGATTAATTATAAATAATACGAAAACTGCCAATTCAAAACAGACACGCTAATATTTGGAAGCTGTTACGTTCTATTAACATTTTCGATAACCAATATTTGGATTCAAATTATTATATCTAAACAATCTTTCCATTTAATTAAATCGAATTGTTAATCCATCTGGTAAAAATGTTTAAAATTAGGTCAGCTTAAATATCTTGAAAGAAGTTGAAATGAAATTATAAAAGTTTGTTGAAATTATATCCAACCATCTTCTCGTTTAATTAAATCGAAATATTAAGAATTAAAAGAAAAAAGTCTTAAACTTTCCTTTATATCGTAGTCGTAAAAGCATGATTAAGATCGAAAATCAATTTTTGCCCCTCAGTTAATTCTCACTTACACGTTTTCCTCGAAATCGCGGATAAGTTACGCCCGATAATTGTAACGTGCCGGTGAACATCCCCCTACGTCAATTTCCATTTGTTTTCGTGGCTCGGAAAGCTTGGAAATCTCAGGGGACCGGATCTATCCCCATCCCCTTGTGGGAGGTCGGACCCCGTTGCACGCAGCCTGTGTCTTAGTAATTACAATGTTCCCGAACTAGATTACGAATACCGATGTATACGGGATTTGGCGTGCGTAGAAGTAAAATCGTTTCGAAATCACCGGCACTCTCACACAGAATTTCTCCACGGAAACCGCATAATGCCACTGATTTGTCGTTTGCAGGGGGAGTCAAGCAGGAGGCTCAAAATCAAAACGGTACTGACCCTAGATCACCTCCTTAATTGATTAATAGATGTTTTAGGAGTACAATCTGCACCACAGCACCAACCCATATTTTGAATTGATTCTATACTCTTATATCTTCTTTGCACGACATTCTACGAAAATTAACTTCCTATTCTATGAACAAGTAGAACGCTTCATTTATTTTTACACATTTCTTATTAGATATATTAATAAGGTTTGTTTTGCAATACTTCTAATTATACATATAGAATTTTTATATATACCATAAGATGGGGCTACATGGACACAACGCAAGGTTAGATTATGTTTTTGTTTCTGGTGTATTTTTTTCTTATTATTAAAGGAAGTCACTGATTAAAAAAACTCCAGTGTCAACATTTTACATGAATTACAAAGTGGAAGACTTGGAAAAGGCTATGGATGCAGTTCGGAAAGTTGGACATCCGATTGTTTTAGGCAAGTCTGAGGAACTGTTGATTTCGGAAACTTTGCCTGTTGTTGTGAATTGGGGCGACATTTGAGATGTGCTGAATAAATACCTAGATAAGCAAGGGAGGCAGGTCAAGGTCTTCAAGAACAACACTCCAGGTCCAGATTCCATCGATTCTTTTATAACTTGAAACAACATGTTACATGCGACGACACATTACAACATTTTTTAACAATGCTAACCTTGCCCTTTCTTCCATGAAAAGTGTGAACCTATATAATTATGATGTGTCCAAGAAGCCCCAACAACGGGGCTACTCTGACATCACTTTTTATATATTTGTTGTTGTTAGCTATATAATCCTGAAGGTTAGGTTGATATGATGAAGTTTCTGTTGCCCTAACTTTAACAAAAAACGTGTCCAAGTAACCCCATCTTACGGTATATAACTATAAGATGTTTCCGAAAACTTTAGTTCCACGATGAAAACCAGAATTTTCGGAGATATCTTATAGATAGACTTTGTAGCGTATAGTTAAAGGGTTCAGTTAGTCGATCAGTATCGTAGTGTTACAAAGACCTCTTTTTAGACTGTATATTATATTGTATATTTGTTTGTTAGAGGTAAGTAAATGGTCGAGTACCAAATTTCTTATGATATAAGACCTTTTGCTATCATATAACTCATAGCAGCTCATCATCAGCAATAACATAATCTTATAACATAACTCATAGACTGTGATGAGACTAGATAGTGCACTTATATATTTAGTCACACTTTGATTGTCTCAGTACAATACATTTGGCAAATTTTTGCAATTTTAAATCGCACCAGAATTGAGTTAAAAAAGTCAATAGGAACGGTGTTTGTAGAAATTTTGAGCGCATGCGCATTAGGATATGTAAGATACAATACGCTAGTGCGCATATGCTGAATAATTAAGTATGGTGAATAAACATTTAAATGATGAATGGTAATTTTGTTAGAATTAAGTGAAATCGGTGCGTATGGGATAGTTGCTGACAATTTATGCACATGGCGAATATAATTAAAATTCAGGAAGCATGCAGTTGCATAATTCATTTTAAAAAGTAGTTAATAGTTCCTATTTAGGTTAATTTAATACAAGAGCGTTTCAGAACGCCCAACGGTGCACTCATAAGCAGCGGGGGCAGTTCGGTGCGAAATTGTTTAAATTATTACGACGTGAGGGTATAATAAAGCCGTCAGCGTTTAACGGGCGCGGCTTAATTAAAAGCAGGCCGAATGAAAAAAGGGGTGTCGCGGTTTCTTTATTGTACGGTCGATTTCGGCGCGGCTACTTTAACCGTTCCGTTGATTTGCGACCAGATCGATCGTTATGCATATTTGCAGACCAAACGCTGCTAGCCCTAATTACATTCGACATGGCCATAGCCCGTGGTCAACAGCGGAAGAGGGATAGCGCAAAATTTGTTTAGCTTTGAAAAAAAAGAACGGTTTTTCCTCTGATATTTTGATATTTACTTTTTTCGTTTTTTTTTTGGTGCGGGGTGTTTCTATGAAAAAATAATTTCACCCAAACGTTAACCGTGCATAGGGCAATCAATAAATTTTACGAGAACATTTCTATGCCCTTAGACGACGAGTTTGAGCATGCATGAGGCCGGTCGATCGGCCGTGCCCCCACCTCTATTCCCCGAACCCTTTGGGGGCGCACGAGTCCCCCGGCTTCTGAGCAAAGAGGACGATAACAATCGGACCCAAGCGAGGGACCTTATCGCGCATTACATAACCCCTAACGTAACGTTGCGATTTTGATACAACTAATCCGTTTTTGTCGGAAATCAATCACCACTCTTTTTCGTAGACGGTCTCATTATCATCCACCCACAAACCCCAAAAGGTTACCATCGACCCTACCGCGTCATTTTTTTTTGAACCACTTGACCTTTTTTTAGCGAACTTAATACCCCTCGTTCTCGAGAACTACTAACGAATAAATTTCTAATTTATTTTGAATGTACAGTCCACGTTCGACTTACCCCGCACATATTTCCCCCTCTTTATGCTCCAAGAGCCAATACACAGATTCTCCACTAACGTAGAATGTCCAATATTTTACCGCACTTTACATTTACCCTCATTTCTAAAATCGATTTCTCTTCACTCACTCTTTTTTTACCGGTTCAATATTAAAATTTCAAGAGGCAACCCATCTCGGTGCATTTTTTTTAAATTAATCAATCGAAATTTATTAATTTATTCCTGTTTCGCGCATCCACCAAAACTATTAAAATAACACAATGTATTAAACTGTATTTCGAATTCAGCGCATGCAACTGTTTTATCGAGTTTTTGAACGCCTTATGCAGGTGTAATTCATGATAGAAAAATCAATTGCCATAATTTATTACACTAACAGTGTCGTAATGTATGCTGACTGGAAATTCCAACCAAGGATTTCCGCTATTAAAGCAGTCAAAACAATCCATCCAAATTTCTATTTCCATTATCGACAAATTAATTGCATTTTGCGTGTCACGAACGTTTGTTTTTATTGTTGCTTCGTTATTTATACAAAAATTTATGAAGAAGAAAATATTTGATTCTACAAAGAGAAATTTATGGAATAATGTGGACGCATGATGTTTTAGCGTACCATCAATCATTTAGTTTTCAATTTTAGGCATCGAAATTGTACATCTTTGATGCTGATCGAAAGCAGGTCATTCATTTGGGAAAAAGGCTCGTCAACACGGTGGCCAGTTCCCTACGTTTATTACGGTGAAAACGAATTAATATTTTAACCATCAATTTACAATATGCTATAGAATATAGATAAAAAAATTTTCTACCGGCGAAAATCCTTCTTGGTAATGAGAAAATGTGATGTACAAAAATGAATCACATAATACATTATGCTACATGAAAGGAATCACTAAATGCCCTTCGGGTGAGCTCGCTGGCGGTGGAAAAAGCAGCAGGGCCTGATATCAAAGGGGCTACAGCCTTTCACCCCCCGGTCTCCTTTGAGCACCTGAATTTGTGGTTTAAAAGAAAGCACCACTTTATCTCGTTCTTATCTCCCTCCAATATTTCTTTTGTTGGAGCCAATAAGTATTTTTCCCCTCAATTCCGCCAACGTAGAAACCCGAATTTCCTAATATCTTCGAACACGTACACCTTTTTAGTTAACCACCCTTTTATTTAAAAAATATCACGGTATTTATTTAAAAGCAATTACAATTAACGTACACGAAACGGTTACATCTTAACAAATGGAATTGAAGGCAATTTAAAATAAACATCCGTTGTCTTAATTGAGTGCACCCTTTCCTGCCGCAAGATAGCTTGCAGTAGATTCGTTTGCGGTTATGTTTGAAGACGTGTACCGCTTGATGAACATCCGTTAGAGTTGCGAGATACTCTGATGAAAATTTCCAGGATTGTATTATACGAGTGGGCAAAAAAAACGGGTAGGAGCCTACAAGAGTTGAATTAATTTCTGGTTTTATTAATAATGATCTCGATTAATAAAAGGACCCTAAAGCTCCCTATTTAAATCCAAAGTTTAATGTCCTCAATTCATTCGAACCATGCCATTCGCGCGAAAATGTAACTACTGGCGTTTATTTCCGGAAATCGATAAATTAGCTACCACAGCTACCGGTGTAAATTACCCGGGGATGTTTGTTTAGGTTAATATTGATTGAAGTCTAAGTAAGAATTTGTTCCTCTTTCCGTACCAACTCTAGAAAACAAATTGAGATGTTTCTTTGTGGTCGCGAGCCGTCCTTTTTACGAGAGATAATTACCCGAACAAAGGTTTATGCTCTAATGTGCTATTTCTAGTATGGGGCACGTATTTGAGAGACTGTTTCGTTTGGGAAGCAATTCCGTAAATTGGACACGCTGTTTATAGTCATTTTGGTTATGTCAACATCGCCCCTTCCATGCTAATCGAGCCCGCCGTAGTTCACGACCGATAAACTTTCTTGAACAAATTCCTTTCAAACGCGGAGGCGTTTTGAAATGTTTATAGACTCGGCCTCTACGGTAATTGAACGGAAAATAAAAACCATCCCTCCACCGAAACATCTTCGACCGGAACAAAAAAAATATGAAACGTTGAGAGTTCGAAATTGGGGATTAGAATAGTTGAAATATGTGGCGACAAGGGTACCCCAAAGGCAATTTGTTTTTTATCCACCCTATCGGACATAATTCCTCAAAATCTATAGTTCTTGTCTCAACTTACAAAACGAAAACAATATCGTTTAAATCATCTTCTAGAAATATTTTAGAAATATTTAATTTTATTATAACAAAGTGACTTAATCGAAATATCGATTTCTTGTAAGTCCAGAAGGTCATCTAAATATATCCAGAAAATTTCCAAGAATTGTCTGATATTTCAAACTATCCTGACAACTACTGCCTCCGACACATGCAGAACGAATGTTTGCTGTTCGAAATATGATAAAATGATGGAACAAGCAAATGCCAATAAAAGATGCCAGAAAGAAACTGGTGCTAGAATCAAGGAAGTTAAAAACAAGCAGATCAGAACCAAATGATAAGAGCCAAATTAAAAAA